TAGCTCTGGCTGTCTTAGAACTTGCTTTGTAGAACAGCCCAGCCTTGAACTCCTGGAGATCTGCCCACTTTTGTTTCCCAAGAGGCTTAATTAAAAAAAAGTTTTTAAAAAAAGTTCTCTACCGTTGAGGCTCCCTTTGTCTTTTGATATTTTAGTAGACAGATATAGAAATTTCTTTTGAAATGCTAGACAATATCTTTTATATTGCTAGTATAATAATTCCAATGTAATCCTTAAACCAGAGTTTTTGCTTTAATTCTTCCTATTATAAAAGAAAGAGTTCTTCTGTTAACAAGGAAGGAACGTCCACCTAACCTTATGCTTCACATGCTTCCTTCTTACAAGTACACTTATTCTAGTGTGAGGGCAGCATTTCCAGTAGCTGTCAATTTATTTATTACATTTTAAAGACCTCATTTTCAAATACCACCACATAGGGGGTTCGAACTTTAATATATCAGTTTTTTACATAACATTTCTTAATCTTGCATATGTCTATAACATATCAGTTAAAGCTTTGTGATAATAATGCCAATGGCTTTTTGCTATTATTTTTACCTTTGATTGTCTCCCACTAAATACATTGTGATGTACCTTTGTATCCCATGTGAATTATGATTGTTATCTATCCTCTGCTATTAAAAGTCCTACTTGAGTTATTACTTTTGTTTTAATTTTGGTATATATTACCACTATAATTTGGATTCAAACTTCTGGTGCATAATTGCTGAACAAAGGGATCAAATCCTTGCAGAATTTTGCTAAACATTGCAAAGTCATTCTCATTTAGCTTCTGTTTCATTTTCATTCCTGCTAGTACAAATGGCCATCCAGAAAGTTTTTTCTTATTTTTTATTTACAGAGTAGTTTATCTGTACAATTTGATTTAGTATTTGTCTTAAGTCCAGGGTTGACCTTGGTTTAGGGGATATATCTATAATGCCTTAATATTTTCCCCATTTTCTATTGAGGATGGTCATTGCTTTCTACATCTTCCCTTTTCATATACGGGGGCACCAGCCTGTATAGATAGCAAGCTTTTTATTTTGTCAGTCATGTTTTAACTATGAAACAATTTTTTTCCCCAAAATTTATGTTATCACTTGGACATTGCATTGTCTCTGTTTTTTCAGTTTTCCAATGTTTCTAACTTTGAAAGAATTCACTTTTTCTTTAAGAATTAATGTTTTTCATTATTGGCATATCTTCCATGAATTTGGAAGTTATTCTTGGATTGAGAAACAAACAGATACAGTTCTATCTTTTCTCTATGTGGCTATGCACGTATACAGAGTAAGTTACCAAAGACATCCATATTTCGTCTTGTTGTTATAATGTTGGTACCTACAAATAGTAGACTCTCCATAATATTTGATAAATGATTGGAAACAATGTGTTAAACATTTTATTGTTTACTTGCTTAAGATTTTGACTGTCACCCTCTAGTTCTAGAAAGTATAGTTTTAGTTTGATTTGGTTTAACTATATTACATTAAATGAGTAATTGATATGTTTTAGTTAAAAAGATATAATATTGGCTGGAGAGATGGCCAGCCATTCTATTTATATTATAGAGGACCTGGATTCAATACCAAGTACCCACATGACATCTCACAACTGTCTGTAACTCTAGTTCCAGGGGATCTGTGGCACTAGGCATGCATGCATGGGGTACGTACATACATGTGCATGCAGAGAAAATACTCATACACATAAAATAGCATAAATCTTAAAAGATAAGTATAAACTTAAATTGTATGTATTGACATGAAGTAAGTAGAAACATGGGTAAAATAACAAGGTTACATTTTCCTAAGATCATCATTCTTATGTGTGGTTGATACCACTAGAATATGTTTTCTGTATCCTGTGCGATTTATTGGTAGGGGAGCTTAATAAGAGCATGTTTTGTCCATTTTTAAAGCTTGCCTTTTATCTTTTTGTTTTGTTTTTTAAATGAGCATTGTTGTGTTGCTTTAACCGATATGGAACTGCTAGGCTCAAGTAATTGAACTGTACCTCTTCTCTAGACTCATTGTAGGCAGGCTTCACCATGCCCTGCTTGTCTTTTGTTTTATTTTTGATACAAGTTAATTTTGCCTAGTTATAAATAACTATGATGTTTGTCTTCATTTTAGTTTCTCTTTTCTGAATCTGCAATGTCATTAGTTAAAGAAGTCGTGCCAGCCCCACATTAAAAGCAAGCTTGGAAAAGTAGGTGCTTGAGTAGTTAATATTGCATTTTATATCATCTGGGATCTATATTTTTTTTCTTAAATTTTCTGCATTTCATTCACTTTATGGTTTTTGTGTAAATGTGTGTGTCACTCGTGCCATGGCGCACAAGTATAGTGGTTAGACAGCAGCTTGTGAGTCTGTTCTCTTTTACACCATATGGGTGCCTGGGAAAGAGGCATTCTAGAGTCTTTAGATTGTTCTTGAGGTGTGATCTCTGTGTTGTATAGCTCTGACTTTCCTGGAGCTTGCTTTGTAGACCAGGCTAGCTCCAGTCACATCAAGATCTTTCTGCCTTTGCCTGGGATTAAAGGTGTGCGGCACTATGCCTATCATTGTAGGTGCAAGCCAGTTCCCAAAACAGCAGTGTACGTGTTTTTCAAAATTAAATTTACCATTCACTAATATCTGCAAAGGGGAAAAAAATCAACCAGTGGATCAAATATGTTTACTTTTCCCTTTTCTTATTTATACCTAATACCTGATGCCATATGGTAACAAGAGAAAAGTACCTATGAAATCTGTGTGCATGGCCAAAGAGAATAAGTAGAGAATGGCAAATAGTGGAATAAGCCAATTTTGCTTGGGTTTGTAGACCTGTTAACTTCTGTCATAAGTAAAACATGTAGCAGATCAGCATAATGGGTAAGACCATAATCTCTGAGATGGAAGCCTTTTACTAACTACTGCTGTTATTTTTATATATTTCACCTCCCACATGAGCCTTTTCTTTCAGTGTTACAAGTATTGTATGAAGTAATGTACAGCCCTTTAACACAGTACCTGGTACACTGCTTCTACAATCAGTAAATAGTGTGTGATGCTATCATTGGTATTATTATTGCAGACTTTTCTGGAACTAGGAATTAATAAAGTTCTAACAAGGATGTATGTACTTTTGCATATTATATGCATGAAAGAGATTAAATAAAATCTCTTTTAGAGATTTATTGAATTATTTTAATTCAATAATTAATTGATTTAGTGAATTATTTAGTCATTGAAGAAATTTATTACCTCTAATTTTATTTTAAACAAACTTGAGTTGTAAATACTGAAACTTGCGTTTTCCCCTTGAAATGTCTGTTAGTACTTTGAGTGTAATGTTACCCAGTTCACTCTGTAATCTTTTCCTTTGATCAAATCCATGTAGTCATTTTCAAACATTTCTTTCTCATATTCTAAAGTTTTCATAGTGTTGAGGTAAAGTAGATACTGCTAACAAATGATGAAACTTTCATATAGCAGCATATTTGGCCTATAAAGTTAACATTTATGCTGTTGAAAATGAAATGTGAATGTTTCTTAGTCAGGATTTCACTATTTAATCTAGTTTTGCCTTGAATTCTCATTCCTCTTGCATCATTCCCATATGTTACCAAAGGCAAAAAAATGCAGTTTTTTTTTTTTTTTTTTTTTTTTGGTTTTTTAAGACAGTGTTTCTCTGCAGCTTTGGAGCCTATCCTAGAATTATCTCCTGTAGGCCAGGCTGGCCTCTGCCTCTGCCTCCAGAGTGCTGGGATTAAAGGCGTGCGCCACCACTGCCCGGCTAAAAAGAACAGATTTTTTACATTGGTTTAATACCCTCTGGGATCTCAGAACATCATTATCATTATCTTTCAAGTCAGTCATGAGTAATATAGAAATGGTTTTAAATTGATACCTAAGAATAAGTACTTAAATATTTTTAAGAATTTTGTTTTTCAGAAGTCAGTGTTTTAAACCCAATAATACTATACTGTTATATTTTCAAATATCATCAGGGGGTTCTATTCCTGTTACAAACCTGTACCTTAGTGCTCACATACATATATCTCCTCCATTTCTTCTGTGGCATAAATCAGAGGGAATTAGTTTACACTGATAGCCCGTCTGTCTCTCATCACTGCTGTGATTTTTGCATGTCTTTTTTGTAGTAATACTGGCAACTCTGCAATTATATTGAGTAATTAAGTGAAAAATAATCATTAAGCAAAAGCTGGAGGATATTTCATAGCTGATTGTTCAGAAACATTTGATGTAGAATAGAGTCCTTAATGCTTCTTATTTAGAATGGGGATAAATTTATGGACTCAGTATATTAAAACAACACTTTTGTACTTCTGGCAATTTATCCTTTCATAATAGGTTCTGTGATAAAATTGTTAGAATTCTGGTCAGAAACATTCTGACTTAACTAAAATTGTTAAATTTACATATAATAAAACACTTTTAAGTTAGTGGGGTAAAATTGATAAATTTACATACAATAAAAACACTATTTTTAAGTTAGTGGGGCTGTGTTTATTGATGTTAAAATTCATGATGGGGCCAAACAAAATATTAGAACATTTGTATAACATTCAGTTCAAGGTTTTGGTGTTTACCTTTTAAAAAGTAATAGTGCCTTGATAAAAGTGCATTGAATATGTTGTCCATTCCAAAACAAACAGTCATCAAACATTTGTAGCGTCTCCCCATCTCTCCCTAAATGGTTTTTAGTTGGTGATGCAGATATTTGTCATTTACCAAATTAGAAACTTAGTTTTGTAAACTTGACATTGAGAGAAAGAAGTTTCACAAAATGATTTAAGTGTTGGATTTGTCCTCAGGAAATAAACTTTACCCATATGTTACTGTTTGGCAGACATACATCTTAAAAATAATGAGTGAAATTTCTACCTGTATTCCTTTCTCTTCATTTTTCAACAACACATCATCATTGTGCTTTTTTTGTTAGTACTTTTGCTTCACTTCGAGGAACATGATTTTATTTTACAGACATATATGACGTAAGGTATATTTGTAGTTAAGCATTCTCCATGAGTGCAATATTTTGTCTAAATGCAAAATTCATTGAAATACTGGGTTGGTCCTTAATACTAATAAGAAAACAAAATTTGTCTATTTTGAAACCTTTAATAATTCATTTTATAAAAACTTGAGCCTGAGACACATTAATTTTTCACATTTATCACATCATGTCAAAATAATTTCCCCAGTATATACGAGAATTAATAAAAGAAATTATAAAACACTTATCAATTATTTTTAAAAGTAAATGCTTGAATGAGAATTGCATTGCTGAAATGCCTGAATATATCTGAGTTTATGGAATAACTTAACTAAGTCTTGTTGTGTGTGGTATAAAGTTAGAACTCTAAATTCAGGTCAGAAAATGTGTTTTTTGCACAAAGTTTTCTTGTCTTTACATTAGATTATATGATGAAATCCAAAGTAAACCTAGGAATCTTTTGACTATCTTCATTTCTTAAATTATGATTTATGTGGAAAATGTATGCAGATACACTGTATTGATCCCCAATATAAGACTTGAACCCTTTATGTATGCATGCTTATTGCATGTTAATACAGAGAATCCTTTTCTTTATACAGTTTTTTTTAAATAGACTCTTTTGGGATACCTTTTTGTCATAATGTTGTAATTTTATGAATTAGCGTCTTCAGAAATTAAAAAAATAGTTTTGAATTCCTTACGTGATGAGCTGAACTAAAACTTGTTCTAGGTATGTATCAAGTTTTTAACTATACATGCTTTAAGCAATATTTACAAATTGCACACTTGAACAAAAATAGTCTTTTAGTGTAGTTTGCGGTGCCGATACCTTCCTGCTTTTTCCTTTGCTGCGTTGGCACAGGCATTGTGCTTATTTTGTTGTAAATGGTTCCAGTATTTTATCAGTTCACTAGGCTGGAACTGATGAGAGGTAATTAGGTGGCTGTATTTACAGCTTGAGTAAGAAACTCGCCAGTGATTGAACACGAACTCATTGGGAGGGGGCACAGGATCAATTCTCAACTTGGCAAGACAGATCCCTACATACACATCTTCCAAGTGCAAACGACGGATGCCTAAAGAAACCTTAAATATCTTTTCTGCTAGATCCCCAGAAAAAACATAACCAGTTCCTGAACAGAATACTGGGTAACGCTCACTTGGATAAAGGTCTGGTGGCATGTACCACTTGCTGTCTTTGTTTCTGTTAGGTGCGTATCCTCTCATTAGGTACCCAGTAAAGTAGTTATGTCTAGGAGGCAGTTCTGGCTTTAGTAACTTGTGTATTAAATACTCGGTGTTGACAAACATGTCACTGTCTGTTTTCATAACATATGGAATATGTGGACAGTATGTTGCAACCCAGTTCATACCCATTAGTGTTTTAATCGTCAGATTATAGTATGTATCTAAGTATTCCTGTTGAATTATATCATGATATTGTCTGCTTTCTTCTAGAATTGCATGTTGAAGGTAGCCATTTAGCTTAATACTTATGCCCAACAAAAAAATTCGTGTGATTTGGATGCCAGGTGCCAAACTTTCATTGCCCCACGTTTGCCGGATAGCTCTTCTTGCTTCTATTTGTCCAGGTTCTGCAGCTATTAATAGTATTAAAAATGGACTTTTCTCTTGGCATTTTTCAGGCTCATTGATAATATATTTGAAATGGTAAGAGTTTGGATGTCCAGTACCCTTTTCATTATATTTGCTTCCATTGGCACTGAGTGTGTTCTCTAGTCCTGTAACTCCTTGTGGTGATAGATCTGTGTTATTGGAGTTAGTTGCTGTCTGAGGCCTCAGAGTCTGAGGAACTGTTTCTTTCCATATGTTCCGAAGGGAGCTGTGATTTGTCTCACTTTTTGTAGAACGAAATCCTCGGAAAGTGTACGTCACAGGGTTTTCTTTGAATCCAGCTCTACCTGGTAGCCAGTCATGATGGTTGAAAAACAAAAACATAGCAAAAAGAAACACTAGGGAAAGTACACCCATGAGGTGGGTCCGGAACAGAGACCTTTTAGCATTCCAGGTCATCTTTGCAAAGCAACAGTGTCTTCTCCTCCACTGAAGCATGTTGTAAATATCCAGTAAGATGTTTGAGGCCAGAAATACTCTTGGCTTTTCTTTCTTTCTTTCTTTCTTTCTTTCTTTCTTTCTTTCTTTCTTTCTTTCTTTCTTTCTTTCTTTTTTTTTTTTTCCTGAATCAGTCCTGTTCTTTGGTCATCATTTTCTGGTTTAGTTGTGTGTCCCTTGAAGTCATTCTGTAAAGATGAAGCATGATGGTTTACAAAATGCAAATTCTTACAAACTAACTTGAAAGGACTCTGATTGCTAATAAAAGGATGTTTTTAAGTTGTGAAAAATAGGATAAACCAGAAGAAAGCATATAATTTGTTTTCTTTTGTCAAAATGAAATAATCAAGGCTTATTTCTTTTCCAATATTCTTGTAACACAATGATCACTTGAAAGGTAAGTGATAGATTAATTTTATTGTACTCATTTGATGATCTCAGTAACTCTGGTCACCTGTTCTTTGGACTTAAGGTAAAGATTTTTAAAGTTGTATCATGTAGAAAGAAAAAAATGTTTAGTTTTTTTTATTTTACAAAGGCTTAGTAAGAAGCCTTCAGAACATATGGAAAGTTTATTGACATTAATTAAAATTGATTTGACATACCATGACGATATGGTGCACAGTCAGTGGCCTTTATTTTGGAAATGGTCATGTATTGGTTTTGGGACAGACGGTGCAAGTTTGATTGTGGCAGAGTTCAGTTAGTCACAGTACACTGCTTGGTGCATTTCCACTGAAACTCAGTGAGACGATACACCTGTCAAAATTAATTATCAGGGTCCAGTAATTTCACTGTGAGATTAGACAGTAAGAAGTGATTAAAATTTAAATATTTTACTAATTTTAACCATCCACCTCAAATAGGAAGTATCCAGGAGATCAGTCTTGTTTGTTTATGATTTTGGCAAAGGACATGCATTTTTATACAGTTTTTTTGGACTGTATTTTAGCATAATATAGGCAGTGATCATTACTCTCTTCAACTGCTCTAAACCCCACTTTGTACAGATTATATCTTAAAATATTCTTAAATTAGGCCTTGTTACAACAAATCTCTGCAGCAATCAGAAATTAGTGTATTTTTTATGTCTTTATAGTAGCATAACACATTCATTCCTAGATCTTTAAAAAGTTACGAGCTGGACAGAAGAAATGATTGATGCCACATAGTGAAAAACTGGCTTTTGCAAGAGGCTTTTCAGCAAAGTCTAAACTTATTTGTATTTGTTAATTGTAATTTGTTTTTTTCTATTCTTAGATGCTTCTAGATGAAGTGGGGTCATAGAAGTAGTTTGAATTTCAATAAAAGCTATTTGAAGGAATGGAGACAATTATTTAGCATTTATTTTTCCAGTTTTTTTTTTTAAATCAAACTCAGAAGTAGAAGTCATTTATTTAATCATTAATTTTGGGACTTGCAGTATTAAATTTGTGTGGTCAAGAAGTGATTTTATTTCAGTAGTTCACTGAAATAATTAATTAAAGCAAATAAAATTTTAACTTGGCCACTTATTTTAAGTTATATGTGTAAATGCATGTTCTTATTTAGCTTATCATAGTGAGCGACTTATTGTTGATGATAGATTGGTTTAACACTGACACAAATACGATTTAAGAAGTAATATAATTTACATGTCAGTACCCAAGAAATTGAGTAGTTGTAGCATAAAACTTACACATACCATTCAATTACTGCTTGAAATGTTTGATGGTTATGAATGAAATACTATTTTAGTAGCAGCCACTAGGAGGAGCAAGTAGGTGGGAATTTGAACAAATTTCTAATGTGCACCAGGCACTAAGGTTTGATCTTGTTTTTGAAATTGAATGGTGCTTTTAGTGAATAAGGTTATTTCTCAAAACTAAAAATGTATTTAATTATATATATGAATGAATAGTGATTTTTTAAAATTTCTAGTTCGCTTTTAGTTTTATTTATATGGATTAAATCTTAACAGTATTGTATAAAGATCAAAGCTGTTCTCACCCTGTGGAAACATGGTTCCTATATGACATGAGTTGAAAATGATAGAGCTTCATGGCCCAATTTAGAAACAAAATTTCCTGCCTGTATTTATAAATCTATTTAAAGCTGAAAACTGTTAAGAATTTATTGGAAAATTATATTATTTGGTAGCCACTAATGATACACACCCACCTTATGAGTCTAATGGATATCGAAGACTTATGTGTATAAATTTAAAAAGCAGTAACTTTGGAAAGTTCATTTGGTTTGTTTCAAGTGTTATAAATACATACTTACCAGCCTTCTGTTGATATAAAATTGCTTAGAACATGGTTTCGATCCAATCATTTAGATACTTTAAAAGTGCAGACTTATAGTTCAAAAAGGAGTAAATTCAAGGTCAGATTTTCAAATGAATGAGTAAAAGAACCTAAGAGAATGAAGTATTAATTAAGTATTGTAGTAAGTTACATTGTTTTCAAGAAAAGTGTACTTAAAGTGATATTTTAAAGTGTTTTAGTGTTCTAGAAAGCAGCTAATTATTTTTATTGTAGCTTAGAATTCATTCATGATTGATTTTTAATATAACTTTATAAGATGGAGGTACATCTTAATTCAAATTAAATGAGAATTGCATGTTTATAAGTAGTAATCTAGGAAGGCTTAGAATCCTTTTACAAATATACATATTTGATACCCTCCCATTGATAAATGAAACTCATGCATCTAGCCTTACATTCTTTGCTAAAGTTTCTCAGGATGGAGATATATACGTATATATCTGCAAGTGTGTGCTATTAAAAAGAAAGTAAAATTGCTGTGACTGCTTCTTTTGTTAAATGATAAAAGTATTCTCAGATTACAATGCCTGTTGTATTTTAGTTTTGAAAATGAGAACAAGGTTAGAGACTGAAGTTATTTTGTCATGCCTTACATTTTTTAAAAAGTAGATCCTTTTCTGTTTTGATTATAATACCTTTAGTGTGTTTTTATATTTTATGGATTAAAATTTATAAGGATGTTACTATTAAATGTAACCCCCATATCAACTTAAAAAGTTGATATAATTATATTAGGTTTTTGAAACAGACCTAGATTTAAGTGATGCTTTGGTAGAAAAACTTGTATACTTTTGTCTTGAAACATTTAGTCCTATAAACTTAATTTCTAATAAAGGTACTAGGAAAGGCTAGATTTTTAAAACTGTTTCATTTAATAGTTTCTGATTTTAATCTGTTAGAATACAGATACTTATGATTGAGAATTGATGTTTATATACAACAAGGTTTGATACATATTCAATCTTAATTTTACAATGCCGTGCTTCCACAGATCTTAAAATTATTTCCTTTTATTTTTTGATTGTTAGTAAGGTTTATGAAAGTAAGGGGAATGATCAAAGTATGATAGGTTTGTAAACTTGAGTTAGTTGCTCTTCTGGTGTTGATTGTCCCCAGGATAGTTTATCTCTGTCTTGTAGACACATGTAGAAGCAATAGATAGGTTTCTGTTACATGTGAATAAAGCCCGTAAGCCCATTATTGATATTGTTTTGATCTTATATTATTAATGAATATTTTCATATCAAACTATTTTATGCCAGATTTTTAATTTCACTTTAAAAATTATCTTTAGGAACAGTCTTAAACTCGATAATTTGGAATCAGTCTGTTACTTAAAAAGCTCCCTACTTCACTAATGTACTTAGAGCAACTATTTGATATTTTCTTTGTTTAAAGTTGTATTTATTGATACTATAATAACGTGTGACTGACTCCTTGATGGTGCTATGCTCTTCATAAACTCATTACCGTATGTAATCCGATGCTCATAATTTGTAATATCCTCTTGTAGTTCAATAACATCTAAAATTTGCTGATATACTCTTGAACTGTGTTTGTCATCTCTGAGAAACTAGATATTAAAGAAAAGATATTACTGTTAAGATTTTGTTTTGAAAGGATTTCCCCAAAAAGACCCTATGAAATTAACATCATATTAGATGCTATTTAATATAATTTTCCTGCACTATCTTTTGAAAGCCACTTTAGAAAATGTGCTTTAATTTATTAGACAAGGAATCAATTTGACCTAATTTGCTAGAGAATTGTTGTTTTTTTTTAAAAGGGCTACAGATTTTTTTTTCCTAGTTTAATTTCTCAGAGAATCTTTTCAGTACATCTAATTACTATTTGTTTTTTCTTTAATGTTTGTAATCCTAAAGAATTACTCTCAGGTACATATTTATTTGAATAAAACAATGACACCTTGTCTTTTAGAAAAGGCAAATTTTAAAATCTTGTATTTAGAGACCCTTTCATAGTTTCAAGGGCAGTGAACTGCATGAACTTGTTTATCAAGTATCAGTGCCTGCAGGACTATAGAATCATAACACATTTAATACACATTGTGCACAAGACAGCGACATACCTTTCTTTCTTGGTCAGGCCATTTAGGTAGAGAGGATTATGCCCACTGAAAATACTTTTGGCACGCCATCACTTCAGCAGAAAAAAAAAAAACACAACAAAAAACACCCAAAACGATGCTATCAAACATGCGCACATCCCCCAACAGTCTGCCTCCTGTGATTGCTTTTCACAGTATCCAAAGTGTCCATCTGTCGGCGTTTCTTCAAGTTACCCTTCTTGTTCATATGTGCCCTAGTCTTCAGAGATTTTCCCCGAGTTTCATTTTCTCTCCTTCTTTAAACAAAAGGGCTGTAGTTGTCCGTTCTATTTGGTGCACTGTTGACTCTTTCCGACAGTTGATGCATTGAAGCTCTTTACATCTGCTGTATTCTCCGGCTGGACAATGCGGTGCTGTATTCTCTTCTCAGTATCCATATTTCTAGTAGTAGTGCTGAGCTGCAATGTAAAGCAGCAGAGCTGGGGTTTTGTGTTTCAGTTGCATTGGGGGAAAAAAAAGGCTTTGCCTCTCTTCCGTCGTCGTTGCCTGGCAGCTGCAGGAAGACTTTTTTTTTTTTTTGAGCAGTTTTACTGGGGTTTTAGTCTGTAATATGAAATCCACGGTTCTTCAGCTGCTGCACAGGCAGGCAGCAGTTTAAATGTGGGCTTGACAGATGCTCTCTCTGACAGAGCAGAATTTAACGTCACTGCTTGGCTGAGTCCCACGTGATTGTTTGCATTCATTTTAACTAAAAGCCTAAGGTAGGGAAAAGCTTAGAAATCTTGCTTCTGTGTGTTGCATTATATTTATTCGGAACAAATACAGTTATGAGTAAATATAACATTAATGTATGATATGAAGTGGAGGTTATGATTTTTAAAATCTTTAAACTTATGCAAAGCTTTCTAAATATTTTCTGTGTTCGATGGTGGCTTTCATGTTAAGCTTTTGTAGAGCAGAAGTAACAAAAGCTTTTACATGCGAGTTGGTGTAAATTAACTCTTTGAGTACATTCTTGCTCTTAAAGTATTTTGTCTAAATTGTTCTAATTTTCTAGTCTAGTTAAAACATTATCTGTTATTTGTAATTTAGGATTGCCCATCCCCATTTTCTACAGCATATCCAGATCAGTTGCCTGGATTACTTTAATGACTGTGATGTGAATGATTATGATAAGTCTGCTTTTGCTCTCTGCAGTTTTTAGGGTTCTTAAAAGTAAAGTTAGTTTTAAATCACTTTCTTGTTTTCAATGTTACACTGTTTTTACTTAAAATTACATGTATCATAGAATTAAAAAAATGATAAAGTAGATATAACATACATGCATAGTTTTTTTTTTGATTGGTGAAGTCTGCATGATTGCATTTGACTGAAATCCTAAGGTAGAGAAAATTTTAGAACTTTACTTTTTGTATAATAAATATCACACATACTTATACATTATGCATGTATGTGTAAACAAGTATAGTTATGACCTGGAGTCCAGTGCTTCTAATAATGTTTAATACTTTTAAAAGTGGTTTAGTAAAATGCCATCAAATAGGTTTTATGAACATCAGAAGCTGAAATCCTTCTCAGGTAAAGTTATCTAGGCACCTGGGCACTTGGCCATCTTTGGCAGGTATTTTTGTTATTTGTTTTAAATGGCCATAATTAACATTTCCCTCTGATATTCTAGAGATACTAACTACTAGAAATTTATAGTTTTAGAGCTGTGCTATATATTTTAGGTATGCAGACTTCATTTATTTCTCACACAGTGAGAAATATTTCAGGTGAATAAAAATTGCACTTTAAAAGCTTTAAGTTTTTGTCTTCATGTTTTACTTACATTGTTCTTTGTTGATTTAGCTGTACCCTATGACTTTCTTAGTTTGTGTCTTACATTTCCTAGAAATATTAGAACATTAAAACTGAAGGAAGAAAGAAAATTACTATAAAGGAGAAACTTAAAGCTTAGAACTTTGGCCTTCCTTAGTTACATTGTAAGAGGAGGACTGAAAGTCAAGTTTCTTAGCATTTGGTTCTTAACACTCCATAACTCCACACTATAGTGCTCACTGCTTGTCGGGGTCTGTGTGCCCCACCCCTTGGTAATTAGCCACACACAGAATAGAATCCTGAATGGATTTTTACTTTTTTTCAATAAATGTTTATGAACAAACTACTAAACGCTAACATATACACTAAGACACAGTTTATTAATTATTGGGAATATGACGATGACGGAAAAAAATGCCCTACCTTCTTGAGGGTAGGACAATGTAATTATTTTGCCAGTTATTGTTAATATATTTTACATCTATCTTTTGGTAATACTGAAAGCTAGGCAGTGCTAGATAAGTTCTCTACTTCTGCTCTACATCCCCAGCAATGTGTTTTTTATTTTTAATTCACAGTCATTATACATATTTGTGTGATACAGTGAGACATCTTATACAATGTGTAACAATTATCCCAAGACAACTAGCAGATACATAGCTTCTAAGATGGCCTTTTTGATATTGAACTAGATTTATTATGGCTCTCAATTATTGAGGGCTTCATGGATAACTTAAAAAATGATCCTCTTCTATGTTGGGTTGAAACCTGAATTACCCAGGTAATTTTAGGGTTGGCAAGAGACTTGGCTTTTTTTTTTTTTTTTTTTGGTGCCTGTCCTGGAACTAGCTGTTTTAGAACTAGGCTCGCCTCAAACTCACAGATATCCTCCTGCCTCTGCCTCCCGAGTGTTGGGATTAAAGACGTGCGCCACCACCGCCCAGCTACTTTTGTTTCTTTTAATTTATCAATAGCTTAAAGTATAGATAGATAGCAGCTATAAAGTAAGATTTCCATTACTGATGTCTTCTAACATCTTTAGCTTCCTAGGCAAGAGAAATGGTGAAAATCGGAGACAGGAAGCCTTGTACAACTTCTTTTTTTAGTTTGATTTCTTTTAAAACTGTATTCTATGTTTAAACTAACTCAAACAATTGTGGCAGGTTTCTTTGTCAAATTTAGCAAACTGACAGTTGCTTTGCTAAGTTTTGTAGCTATAAGTGGCATGTAAGTGTTACTTACAAAGGTCTGTTTTTATTTTCATAACACAGGCCTTATGTGGAAAAAAGGTGTCCTTCGGGTATTGTGGTTCATACTGTCCACATGTTTGCATGCTCTCTCGCTCTCTCTCTCTCTCTCTCTCTCTCTCTCTCTCTCTCTCAGAATTTTTTTAGGCATGTCTATAATAATCCTTAAGGAGCTGAAATTTAAGGAAGGGGTTTGTAATGCTTCCTAATTCTCATGTCTATGAAATATGCAAATCTTATTCTGTTATCCATATAGTTGATGGTTCTGAGTGATTTGTATGATAAAAATTAGCAGTAACTTTGGGAATTATCTGTTTATTGTTATGTATGAGTTCAGTAATTTCAACGATTTTAATATTGAAAAAGTTTAACCAGAATGGCAGTAGAACACTGAGCTACTGCTGTTGAATAAGAAGAGAAAACAGGAGACTTAAGTCCAGTCTTGCCTATATTGGTCTCCTTTTTGTTTGTGCTTTACGTGGCCCCTATACTTGAAACTTATTTCAGCTCATGACAAGAACTAAATACTTTTTAAGTGCTAGATTTTTTTTTAAAAAACAAATATAATCTTCACCATGTTTTACCTGCATGTTTGTATGTATGAGGGTGTCAGATCCCTTGGAGTTGTGAGCTGCCATGTGGGTGCTGAGAATTGACCCAAGTCTTTTTGAAAAGCAGATAGTGCTCTTAACCGCTGAGCCATCTCTCCAGCCCTAATTTTTATTATATTTATTTGAAAATTATATTTGGCATAGTTATCTAGGGTCCACGGTTAGTTTTACTATGTTCCCTAATGTACATAATATATTTAATTGGAGTTTATACCTCTTGGCTTTTTCAAAATACAGACTTTTTTATTGGATGAAACATGCAGACAAATGACATAGGTTTGGTTACTTAATGCTATTAAATAGCTTTACCCTTTTAAAAAATTACTTATTGAAATACTTTTTCTGTGAACTTCATGCAATAAAAACTTCATGCAATTATGTTGACACATGCTTTCTATGTTCAAAGAACAACATAATTGTAAACTAGCAATCTCATAGTGACCACAAGTGTCAGTATTTGCTGTCAATTTTTATTAAATTGGATAGCAGGTGCTCATGTTAAGAATTTCTTTTAAAAGAAAAACAAAAGTTAAATATACATATCTCTTTCAGAACTAGTTATCATCACTTTTAATTCATATGATAAATTATAAATATGATTCATAAACTATATGATTCATAACCTTCAAGAAAGTATAATCATTTAAAAATTTCAGTGATTTGGCAGACACATAATTTTGCTTTCATATTCTCTGTAATCTCAGTGAATTAGCAGTTTCAGTTAGGTATACCTTTTTCCAATTAAAATTATGGACTGTGGAGGTGGTTCAGTGAATAAGGTGCTTGCTGTCCAAGCATGATGACCTGATTCATATCCTCAGCACCAACTTTTTTAAAAGAGAAATATTGTATAAAATGTAATCTATATTTCATACTTTAAGCCAAAGTATTTGATGATTATACATATCACTCATTAGTCTTGAATCATGATTGATATTAATATGAAATGTCTGTCTTTCAAGACAACAACTCAGTCCCTTGGTAATTTGAGGGAAGAAATCCATTGTATGGAAAATCACAGAGTTAATAAATTTTATGTTTGACTTTGAGACAGGGTCCTTTTTTGTAGCTATGGTTGTTCTTGGACTCACTGTGTAGACAGGCTGACCTATAACTCTCAGAGATCTGCTTGCTTTTGCCTCCCAACTGCTGGGATTAGACATGTGCACCACTATGCATGTAATAATAGTGGCCCAGTTTGCATCTAGAGGTAATCACATCTATAGGCAGGTGCAAAAAGCCAGCTACTGAAGCATCTGAGAATGTGATTAAGGGTTGCTTCCGGATGCCATTTAATGTTCCAAACAAGTATTGCTGCATTTTAATGTTTTTCACTTATGTTTTTCTTTGTAATTGCTTATAATAATAGACCTGAAGTGTTTTCAGTTTTGCAGTATTTTCATGAGCATAATGTGATTTTTCTGGGAATTATGATCAATCGATTTTAAACATAAAACTTACTCATTCTCAGACATGCTTTACACATGCAACATGTGCTGCATATAGTTTTAAATGTGTTTAGTATACCTGTACTTTGACTAACTCAATACAAAAAGTCAGGCCAAAAGTTTCATGAAGATTCAGGTTTTAGAGTATTAGGATATTCACCAGGTAGCTTTACACATACTTGCAGAGGGTGTGTGTGGGTGTGAGAGAGAGTGTGAGATCTATCTCAGTGTTCTGTTGCTCCATGAATGGGGGAAATCTTTTTTATTTTGTTTTCAAGTCAGGGTTTCTCTGGAATTCTGTATGCTAGGCTGGCCTTGAACTTAAAGAGTCACTTGCCTCTGTTGGGATTTTGAAGGCGTTTGTCACCACTTCCTGATTCTTTAGTGTCTTAAAGTTTTCATTGTAAAGGGTTTTTTCATCTTGATTAGGTACATCTCCTTCTTGCCTCACCTTTCCCACCCACCCCTCCCTCTCCAAGATTTTTCATATCCTCCAATTAGGTACATGTCCCACCTATCTATGTATGCAC